CTATAAGAATTGAATTCCCCCTTACCCCTGCATGAGCCTCACCTCGTGAACTTTTCTTTCTGGGAGTTTTACCTATAAAATCAGGAAGCCCAAAGTGGCCAGCTCTGAACCCAAAAAAGTGTTTAACGAGAAACAGCATTGGGTGGGCCGTGGAAGTCACGAATTCAGAGTTGCCGTGCCTCTCGTGCCTCTCAGCTGTGGGCTGATCTGTCTAGGACAGCTTTGGTTGCCCATTAGCTTGTGCTCTTCCGACCGGTCTCCAAGAGGCAGATGTGGGTGTCAGAGCGGGCGAAGGGCTGCCCGGGCAATAGGTAGCCAAGAATCAATCCAGAGACTGTTCCCTTCACCCTCCCTTGTTACCCCATACCTTCCATACCCATCACATGGGTTTCTGAACACCCCTGGGGGAAGTAGGGGAACCTAAGGAGGTGCAAACCACAGTACACCTTCTTTCTATTGCAGTCCAAATTCTGGGCACCAAGATTCTCCCCATCCCCTGTCCTGCCCACTGGCCTCCAGCAGTTTGCTCCGTCTGTGGGGTGAATGCGGCTAGAATTATCTCCTTCCTTCTAGTGGATTCTATTGCACCACCTGCCCAGGACCGCAGTGTTACACAGAGGGTGTCCACAATCCTCCGAAGACCACTGCGGTGTGCCCATCCAGGCCCGCACAGCCAGAGTGTCTGATTTATCCACCACCTCACTCAGCAGCGAAAAATTTGTTTGGCAGTCATCACAAGCGAACCACCATCCTCACCGGCCTAGGACGAATTCAGATCTAGCCTAAGCCCACCAGCCTCCCTCCCCGTCACACAAGGTCACTTAGTCACTTACCAAAGGGACAACCACCGCAGAAGGCCGTTTGGACCGAGCAGGCGGGAGCTTTGGACACGTTCAACAGGTTCTACACTTGGTTCCTTTGCGGGGCTCAGGCTGAGCAACCTTGGGGCCTACACGGGTACAGGGTCTGCACTCACCGCGGAGAAACCAGAGTTCCTCGCCCCGGACTCTACCCCAGGCAGACCCTTGCGGGTTCTCACCTCCCGCGTTTCGCGCCCTGGTATTGCAGCCCCAGCCGAACCTGCGCCCTGGCTGGTGCTTGCCCCGCATAAACACGCTCCCCCCACTAGCTTCAAACTTATCGACGATTGTTTTGTCTTTTTCTCCCTTTCTTAAACGTCAGTAAAGAGTCACCTCCTCTATTTTGACCCTGTGTTTCCCTATTGGGGGTAGGGGATGGGTAGAGAGGTGGTGTGAAGATTAAAATCTTGGAGTTCTACTCTGAGCAAACAAGCCATAAACTGGCAGATGAATTCTCGGGACCGGTTGATAATTCGAGAGAAGAAAGTGTTCTGGGACACTGTGATGGCTTTTCTTGTCTGGGTTCAGTAGAAATTGCGTAGACTGGTGCGCCGGAAAGCGCGAGCGCCTGTCGTGTGCGCAAGTGTGCGCGGAGTGCCGACCTACCCGCGTGTTCCTGGGTGTGCCGCTTTGTGTGCCCACCAGCGTATTTCGCCACCTCCTTAGGCCGCCAGAGCTCCGCGGCTGCAAGACTCAAGCCTGTGGGCTCTGTAGGGGGAAAATGCCCCCCGCAGAAGGTTTAAATTATTTCGCTCCGCGGGAGACCGGGCCTCGGCTGCATTCGGCTGTGGATTTGGGCGGGAAAGGCCCAAACCCGAGCAGGGAAGCCGGGTGGAGCCGGGGTAGCGGTAGGAGCGCCGTTGGCGCCGCCACGTGCCTGAAATATACTTCCAAGGCCGCCGCAGCCGGAGCAGCTGTTGCCGGAGAAAGTTTCCTCGGGTGCCCGCTGGGAGAGAGACGGGGGTGAGCAGGCCCAAGAGCCAAGCTCCTCCAAGACGGGTTTGGAGAAACCCCCCACCCCTCAATACTCGGCGGCCGAGTCCTGGAGGCTTCTCCCAAAGACGCGGAGTGCAGGCCCCGGTGTAATAAGGAAGGCACCTCGCAGGCGCTTCTCCAAGGCCCCGAGAGTCTCGGGGAGTTTTCGGGACCACCAGGCTCGGTGGAAAATTTTAAAATACATACTGTGTGTCCTCTGATGTGTGAGTGCCTACAGTGCGCAGGTCGGGCAGGTCCCCCGCTGCTGCCGAATGTTGGCGCCCCAGGCTGCGGGCGCTTGGCGCCCACTAAAGCCAGCTCTGTCCGGACGCAGAAAGAAAAACGGGCTGCGAAAAAGCAAAGGCCGCGTCTTTGAATGAGAGTGAAACATGAAATCTGTTCCGTGGGTTGTCTGAGGTTCCTGGGTTTTTGAGGCTCGGACAGGTAGGACCGGAGACAATGGTACCAGTCAAAGAGAGAGGAAGGAAAGAATGACAAATACAGTTGCGCTCGGCGGTCATCCTGTGTGTGCACGTGCACCAGCGTTTAATCCTTCCCTAGCCCCGTGGCAATTTTGTTTTTGTTGTAGGTTTTTTTGTTTTTGTTTTGTTTCTGACTCTTGTCGGCCTAGGCCGTAGAACCACGCAGCAGGGCCAACCCACCTCGGTCCTAATTGGAAAAAGAGGGGTAAAGCAGAAGTGTGAGGCCCAGCCAGGCACAGACATGGCCCTCGGCAAACGGAGTCGCCAGGGCCCTATCTCCCACGTCCACCACTGTACATACACTTTTCAATGTGGCCCTGTGTGTGTTTGTTAGGGCGCTGAATTAGAGACAAAAAGAAAGAAAGACCTGCAGGGGACACCAAGCCTTGGCCCTGCCTTCCGCTACCACCCCCTGGCAGTCAGAGTCCGCAGCTCAGCCTTCTCCGCTCCCGGGACTGCGAGTCTCCGCGCCACCGAACCCTTCTTCTGAGAGATATTTTCTCATGCTACGTCCGGTTCCTACGAAAACCTTAGCCACTGCGGGTCTCCAACTTGGATATCTCCAAGGGGATGAGCTCTCCAAGGTGGAGTCCCCTCAGCCCACGAAGTGGCCAGGTCCTGCTGGCAGTCCCGCTCGGCAGAAGGCCCGCAAGTGCTCTCGGTTTCCGGCTTCCTCGTCCTCCCGGACCTTTGCCCCACAGACATATTTCGTTTCCTCTAACCCAAAGGCCCATAGTTTTCTTTTCTTTTCTTTTGGTTAAGGTGATAAAGGTAATGAGAATAGGTCCACTGAACCCTGTTATGTACATCCAGCTCCAGCGAGGGAACAACATTCTGGATACCGGTCCTCGCTTTCATGGCCCTGGACTGGTGTCTCCTTTCCAAGCCCTCACTATTTTCTTCTGTCTATGGCTGAGAAGACGCAGAAAGAAAACTTCGAGCTGAGTCTCTGATTATGACTCCGATGTTGGTCCTTTTTAAACATGCTACTCAAGGTCGGCTCCTAGCTACCTGGCCCACTCCCTAGAGAAAGTACACGGGGACCCGGCGTCTGCCACGCGCAATTAAATAAGTTGTGCCTTTTCCACCGGTGGGAAAGTAAAATAAACCCACCTCCCAAACCGTCAGTTATCATAAGGCCTGAAAGAACTTCCACAAACTGTGTCAAGGCCCAAGCGAGATTCTGACAACAAATAAATGCGGTGAGGAAATAGGGTCTGGCCAGAGATGGGAAACACATTAGCCACGCGTTCCTTTCTGGATTGCCCACACAGTGGTCCGCGTGGACAGACACCCGCATCCAAATACAGGGGAAAGCTTGAGCGGACGAAATAAATCTCCTTTTCATTTTCTTTTCATCGACTAATAAAAATAATTCCCCATCATTAAACCCAAATACCATAGCGGGCCACAAGAACACGGAGAATTCATAAAACACTGTCTCTGCAGGTCACCCGCTAATCGCGTTATTATTAGCCTCCGGAGCATGGAAATTGAACTGTCACTGCCGAAAGAGAAAATGTAGGCGACAGCTGTCCCTCCTTGGGTCGGCCAGTTTTCCAGCCCCCAAGTTCCTGGGCCCAAGGCCTCCCCCATCCCTAGGCAGGCCACCGCCCCCCCCCACCCCCACTCCCACCCCACGCTTGCCTGCACGCTGACCCAGGTTTTACTCCCCAGCCTTAGCTGGTCAGAAGGAGTACTTCCAGAATAGTTTTAGAAGTCCTGGCTGGAAAGTTTCTGAAGCCGCTAACCCAAGCTGGGAGCGTGGTGTGTGTGTGTGTGTGTGTGTGTGTGTGTGTGTGTGTGTGTGTCTGTGTGCGCGGGCGCGTGTGCGCGCGCGCGCACGCGTAAGATTCCTCTGACAACAGCTGTTCCCCGGGGCTGTTTTGCACAGTTGAAATCTTGGCACTTGAAACAAAATGTTAAGTTGTTTCCCCCCACCCTACCCCACCCCTGGATTCTGTTAAAATACTGACATAGACATCCTCCCCGTGTTTTACGTGTTGTGTGCATATGGATCCGAGACACAAATTAATTACGCTGCTGTCCCCAAATACACTGAGATGTGGACCCTGAAGAGTGACCGAGGGCGAAGGGTAAGGAATCTAACATACATTCCTTTTTCCGTAAAAGCCAACGAAGTAGAAATATGACTGTGTTCCCTCGTCGCTGAAGGGGGGGGGGGGGGAGATAAACAACTGAAGTGCCAGAAAAGTTGGCAGGGTGAGGGCCAGGGCCGAGGTTGAAAGCTAAATGAGATAAACCGGGCATTTCCCGAGGAGGAGGTGTCGGGCCAAGACCTCCGCGCTCGCCCCCGGAGCTCTCAGACGTTAGTCCCAGCCCACCTCCTTTCCTGCCACTGCCTGCGATAGGCACCCCTCCTAACCCCAGGGCCCTGCAAGCCCCTCAGCTTCGGGCACCAGGAACGCTGCTCTCTGCTCGAAGAGGAGAGGGGGATGCAAGCAAGAAGGCCTCCTTGCTTGAGGTTAGCGACGAAATGTAAGGCTTAGGCCAGTTCTCCCAAATTGGTTCCGGCGAATTGGGGAGAAGCTCAAGGCGTTTGTGCAAGAAAAAGAAAGCCGCGTTAGAGCAGGGCAGGGCGTCCGCGGCCAGGGCCTCCCTTCTCACCACTCTGCCCGCCGACTGGCCGCCCGCCTCCCGCGGTCTGGCCCTACGCACTCACCCGGGTGAGGCTCCAGGCCGTGTGCGGCCGCGTCCTCCGCGTCTCCGAGTGGGCCCGCGGGGCTCAGCGCCTCCATGGACAGGTCCAGCCCCTTCTCCTCCCAGTCTCGCAGTTTCCGTTTTTTATTTGAGCCGATCAAGGCTTCAACGGAGAAGGCATGTGCTCGCGAGCTCAGGGCGACTGCAGATCTTCTCCTTTCACTCATTTTAGCCGCCCGCACCCTGGCCCCCGCTCGCCCCCGCTACTGAGGGAGCAGCCTGCGCCCTCACGCTCTGAGCGCCCGCCGGGCCGAGCCCGGGAGAGGCGGCGGCTTAGCGGGTCCTTGGCACCCTCCCCTGCGCCCTCCCCCTCCCTCCGCCGCCGGCTCGGACCGGCGCCGCTAGCTGCTCCAGCGGCTACGCACGAGCGCCCGGAGCGCCGCCCGCTCGCAGCATGAGCGCCCGCGTCCTGCTTCCCACCCACCCGGGCAGGCGCTCACAGGCTGTGTAGACTGGACTTCATCTTTTTTTTATTCTCTCTCTCTCCTCCCTCTCCCTTTCTCTCCTCCCTCTCCCTCTTCCTCTCTCGGTCTTCCCGTCCTTCCTCTGATCCAAACTTCTGGGAAACTTTTTTTCTAAATTCCTCCCTTCCCGAGGAGCTGGGGGCAAGCAGTGCGCTCCTGTCCTTGGGGCGAGGGAGAGGGAGGGGGGGAGGAAGAGAAAGACTGACGGGGGGAAAAAAAAGCCAGCCCCCGACCAATGGCGAGGAGGGAACAGGAGAAACCCTGAGAGCGCGGGCCAATGAGCGGAAGGGAGAGACTGAGGCTCGGGCCAAGGCTCAGCGCCCGTCATCCCCGGGATGCTCCTGGGCCGACTTTAACTCCTGGCTTCCCGGTGCCCCATGGATTCCTGGTCGGGGGAGGGCGGGGAGCTGAAGGTCGAGGTCAGATTTGTGCCGTTACAAACTCCTGGCAGCCCCCAATCTGTACCTTTTCCTCCCAAATCTGCTAGGTTTCAAAGACACTGCAAGCCCAGAGTCATTTTAATTACAGATCAGCAATTTGGGGGCTCAGACAAAATGTCAACCTGTCCAAAACGCCAAAAACCGACTCGAATAATCTCGCGCTTGCCCCCAGATGCTTTTAGATCTGCTGGTTCCTAAGGATTTTGACACATATGTTCTTATTTTCCTGTTGAACGATTTCTAAACAACTCTGGTGAACGCAAAACGAAAGAAATACGCCGAAAAGCCCCGTTACTATCCAGAATTTTGGTGAAAACGTAAAGACCGCTTCTTCCTTCCATCTCTACCTGTGGAGGAGACAAGGAGCCGTAGGGCCCCTCAAAGCAGGAGGCCGGCTGGGCGCCCGGCTTACCGCGCGCTTTGCAGGGCCCACACGCAGCAAAGGCTCGCCTTCCCTTTGGCGCGGATGCTGAGTGGAGCTGCCCCGCTCAGGGCGCTTGTTCCGGAGAACCCTCCGAGAGGGTCTGGGCCAGGGCGCCGGAACTTGCACCGCGAAGAAAGGGCTTTTTCAAAATTCCCTTCAAATCAGATCATTCGGGAGCTAGCTCTCCCCGCCCCGCCGATCCTCCCACCACCCTTACAAAAAATATTTTAGAGCAATGTGGTCGCTAGGGATTTCTGAGGAACTTAAAAGTCCAATACTTCTGGCCAATCTGATTTCCCACACCCCTTCCCAGGTTGCGATACTGGTCGCGGGCCTCAGGGAAACCCCGAGCCCAGGCCAGGGCAGAGCAAGTTCAGAGGGACCCAGAAGTTGATCTTACCAAGCTGGAAAAGAGTCTCGGGTTTCGCAGAGGACGACCTCGCTACAGCCTGATGTTCCCATGCCAAAACCCCGGGTCGATACACTTCTGTGCCCTGGAGACGGGGCAGGAAAGAGCCAGCTCCCTGGTGCGAGCAACAGATCCGGCAGACTACTCTCAGGAACAGCTAGGCCCTGAGCAGGGTCTGAACCCGAAAGCCTAGAGTAGAGGTCCCCAAGCCTGTCATAGGCCCCCCTGGAAGCGCCCATAGGTCCTCCCACCCTGGGGCGAGAAGGGAGGGCCTGTAAGGCCTCTGAAATGCCACATTCCCCTTCTGACCACTGAGGGATTCAGGGAAATCTAGTCCTTGCTATTGTATTTGGAAGTGCTCTGGTGCTGTAGGCAACAACCCAGCCTTGTGAACGTACTTGGGCCTTTTCACAGGAGAGCAAAACAGGCCACTTTGGAGCCCCCTCAAACTGGGCTCCAGACCAGATGAGGAGCAGCTAGCAGGGCAGCAGTTGCAGAAGGAATAATGGGAAAGCGACTGGATGAGTGTGATTCAGCCAGACTTGGCCTCCTGAGCCTTCCAGGAGCCTGTGTTCTGACCTGCTCCTTGAGAACCTGGGATATAGAGCCTGGTGCTGAGCCCCTCAGTGTCTCCCGCACCCTGCCTAGTGAACTCCCAGGGAGCTGGGGTGGCGAGGCACAGTGTCTCCCACCTCAGTCACCACTCAGCTCTGCTTCCAGGAGCCAGTGCCTAAAATGATGGAGCAGTCACCACCACTGGGCTTCCGCAAAGGAGTTGGAGAGGACACCGGCCAAGAGTGCGCAGCTATGTTCCCCTGAGGCTCACATCTCTCTCTGGGTTCCAGATTCTAGTGTCACCACTGGTGGCTGGAGCCTGCCAGGACCAGGCCAGTGGGGTAGCCATGGGGCCAGCCTATTCTTTCCCAGCATTTTCCTTCTCCCGTCATCTGTACTCACCTCCCTCTGGCAGCCTCTTGCCTTGGCCTTCTCACGCAGACCTGGTTTGGATTGAGAAGTAGATGCACCATAGGCGACACACTTGTCCTTGAGGCCATAAAAGCTTCTCAAAAAGAGGTATTTTTGGTTATCCACACACCTAGATACAGGTCCAGAAGGCCTGTTCCATGTAGGTGTCCATAGACACATGTCCCAGAGACACACCTGGAGAAGTGAGCAAAGCCTTCAAAGGCAGGCATCTGCACTCCACCCACAACGCATTCACTGAGCACAGAGTGCTCCAAGGAGCCCCTGCATCCTTTCTTCAGGTTACATAGGTTGTCCCTACCCACATTCTATATACTCTGATGTCCAAAAACAGTAGATTAGGTCATTAAAATAAATCCATTGGGAATGAAGCCAGGCTGGTTCTGAACAGTCAGGACAATGGTTTTACCTAGTTTTCCTCTAGGTAAGTGGGAGGGGCGGGGACATTTTGTTTTTGTGACTATAGGGGTCAATCTAAGTTTTTTCCCAGGGGCATGCCCTCCTTGGTGTGTGACCTGTGCTGATGGGGGAAACGGTCTGGAGAAAGATTAAGCAGGATGGTGTGACGTCTGTGACTTCCGTGTATAAATTTGTGTGGTTGGAGAGAAGAAGAAAAAGACGGCTAGGGGATTAAATGTAAAAATCTGGGAGTAATGGATTCATTTTCCTTCCATGAAGTACATCAAAGAGCTTTCAGATTCTCCTCTGGTTACCCAAGTTTCTCTCTCCTTTAACTTTTAAAAATAAGAGTCTCCCCTGTATGAGGCTACATCCTGAGGCAAGCCTCGGGTTTCCCAGCCACAGGCTCTACCTTAGGGCCCTGGGGTAGAGTCTGTAGGTGGTGAGTCCAGTTCAGGTCTATTTCAGGCCTGAAGCTGATTGACAAGGACTCCCTGACCACCTAGGGACATAGGGGAGGTAGAGACCCAGGACTAGCCTGACAGAAGGAAAGCCGAGAAGGGGAGGAATCAGAGTGCTCACCTAAAACCATGACCAGATATTTTGAGTTTTCAAAGAAACACTGACAGAATTCTACAACGCTGGGACAAGAGTCTGGGGCCCTGCCTCCTCCACATACCTGCCCCTGCCTTCTGTTTCTGCACACTAAACACCACCGAAATACGACCACTGCTAATGCCTCAAGGTGAGCCACCAGACGCTGTGCTTTTGCACTTTTGAGTAATTGAAAACAAAGTTAAAATAGTTGGCCAGCAGGCCATGTTTGGCTGCCCTTAAACACGTGGGCAGGACACCCTGTGGGGGCTTGGGAATTACAATGAATTCGGCCTCACTAGGCAGGTATAAAACATCCAGAGGACTGTGGTGTGGGAGGACACCTGGGGACTGTAGGGCAGGTGCAGCCTCGCCACCAGGTCCCGGGTTCAGCTCTAAACTGTGACCTTAGGCAAGTCACTTCATGCTTGTGCCTCAGTTTCCCTGTCAGCAGGTTGAAGGGGTCCTAAATACTTTACAACCAAGCAAAACAGGCAAGATAATGGTTGGGAGGCTGGACAGACCCAGGGTCTTATTTTTGCTATAATTGAACCCTTCTGGGAATGTGAGGCCAAGTATCCACTTTGCACTTCTTTTCCCAAATTGGCGCCCAGTTATGGGATGGCTTAACTGTCCTGGAGCCTTTGAGGGGACGCGAGAGGGAGCTGATTTCTGGAACCGTCTGCCCAGTGCCAGTCCAGGGAGACAGAGCGGGCCCACCTCCGTAGACCGCATCTCCGGTCGCCAGGAGCCTCGGACCGTCGTGCCTCGTTGACTATTCAACTACCCTCTCACACTTCTCAAAAATAAAAGTCCGCGGGGGCGAAAGGGTCATTAATGATGTTTTTTTGTTTTCGCGAAATAAAATCTTTTGTTTTTATTTTAAACCAGCAGCGTGCCCTCCTCTCGGTCCTTCCAGATGTTTGCAATAAAATCGCAGGTTTTGCCTTTGGGACTGGAAATAAAATTTAACGGCCTTCACTCTGTAATTATTCTCTTAGCTCGCCCTTCATAAATTTATCTGCTTTCTATCGGTGTTGGGGTAGGGGGGCAGCGAAAGGGGAGAAAGCCCCAATTTTATATTTGTGACTATAAAAAAGCGCCACCCGGTTTCCTCGCCTTCGGCGGCCGCAGTGGAACCCGGAGAGCCTGGCCCGGCGGGCGGCAACATTGCGCTATTGTTCGCCGGCTGGGGTCTGCGCAGAAGCTGGGCCCTCCACAAAGGGGGGCCTGTGTGGCCAGGAGGCGAGGAAATCCCGTTCCCCCAGGCCCAGCTTCTCTCTCCCCAGAGCACAGCTTGCAACCGGGCGGCCTGACCTTGGTCTTCAGTGTCCGCCTGCCCCGCGGGCGCCAGCTTCTGCTCTGCCAGTCTGGCCCTGCCAGCTTTCGCAGGAAGCGAAATCTCTAGCTTGAGCTCAGCCCACCGAGCGAACGCAAGGAAGGAGCCTGGCTCTGGATACCCAGACACTAGGCAAAGGCTGGCCTGGGGCTCCAGGTGAGGGGACTTCCAGGAAGGCCCCCAGTCCTCTCGTTCACCGGTTTGGGCTGGACTGGAATGG